TCCACTTCTCCACCCACTCACAATTACACATACATTTATATCCCCTGTTCAGCAAATTATTTTATATTTGCTCACTCTTTTTCTCACATCCATTTACATCTAAATGGCTATTGAAGTCATTATGGAACTTCACTTTTGATCAGGTGTGAGAGCTGGAGGAAGAACTCTCTGAACAACTTATTCCACGGTATCAGGGCCTCTGATATTTAGGAAATTAATTCTAGTTACTAACATGCAGCTGATATCCATAGAGACTAATTGCCTACTCAAAAACAAGGTTCTAATTTATTACAAGATCACCCATTTTGTTTTTCTTAGTGGATATATTTACAGAGAAGCCATTAGTTACTAGTAAATCAGAGGAGCCTTAGTCCTTTAATTGATACTCCTAATATTTCTCTTCTTAGAACTAGAATTCTATAAGTAATTACTGTATAAAAATATCTGTGAAGATTTGATGTATAGAGAATAAGTGAAATATGTTTATACTGTGGCCAAGATTTACTTTGCTTCAGCAGTGCTTTTTCATCATGTAAAGCAGACAGGATCAGAGCAAAAACAAAAAGGGCATTATTTTCTTTATAGATTAATTATAGAAACATTCCAGTCAACCATCATATCTTCATATATTTGTAAATCCTTTCATAATATTTCTTTATCTCTTTTTAAAATTTTTTCTCTTTCCCTCCAGTTATTTTGTCCCTTTTTTTTTGTTTTCCTTAGATCTCCGTTCTTACCAGAAGTACTACCCACTCTCTTAGCCAAATTATTTTCCTCTCAAGAATGCTGTATAGTGTTCATACCTGCCTCTCTAATTTTTTTCTTAAAATGAGCAATAGGTCTTTTATTCTAATTGCTATGAGGGAGCAGATAAATTGTTAAAAATGAAGGAGAATACACTAAGATACTTTCAGGGCTAATTCCCTGGTTTGTTTTCTGAACCCATTTTATTTGACAGTCCCCAAAATCTGCCTCCTTTTTCTCACAAATTAGTAAGCTAATGTACTTAAAAAGATTAAAAGGACTGTAGAGATAGCACAGAGTAGTTAAAGTACTTGCCATGTGTGGTGACAATCCTGGTTTGATCCCTGGCACTGCCAGGAATAATACCTTACTGGTACACAGGGCACTGGGTATACTAGCTATCGCCTAGATGCTAAAGGAAGATAAATTAATTCATATTGCCTTTTGATACTTATCATATAAGTTATGAAAGAACTTGGTTTTTAGACTTTTCTTGCAGTATATAAGATGTGAACCTGAAGTTGAAATTTAATGAAATGAAGACTAATTTATGTTCTGTAGTAAAATTTGGCAAATCATTTGAGTCAGAGCAGTAGATAAGTTTGAATGTACAAAGTTAAATGACTTTTAATTTTATAGTAAAGCATCTGAAAATAGTTCCTTTTTTTAATGGAATTTGTTTATCAGGTGGATGGATGATGGCCTCGTAAATGATATCACACCAAAATTGATAGGAGACAGACCCAATACATACATATACACGAAAGCATTAGCTGAATATGTTGTACAACAGGAAGGTGCAAAGCTGAATGTGGCAATTGTAAGGCCATCGATTGTTGGTGCCAGTTGGAAAGAACCATTTCCAGTAAGTTAAAAATTTTTATAAATAGTTGGATTGATAATTTTAAGTCATAATTTTAAAAAAGTGTTGGCAGTTGTTTAAGAGCAGGTATTTTTGCTAAATATGGCTTACTATGATAAAGTTGTTTCAATTTATAGAAGAGACTTTTGTTGGTATATTTATTTTTAATGTATATAAAAATGCAGATCAAAAGTGTAAAAGCCTTTATTGAAAGGTAAATTAAGTGCTCTGAAGTTTTGACTGGAAGGACAGCATTTCCTCTCTTTGAAGTTCATAGACATTTATTGCACTTTAAAAAAAATATTATTTTTTTATTTTTTGAAGTTTAGCATGGCTACAATAGTGTTAGCATTTGTGGTATTGATGTACATGCATCTTCACCATCACCAAAGTGTCCAGGACTACTCAGCACTGTCCCTACATCACCCCGATTCCCCCTCTTTCTCTTGACCCACTGCTTGGTTTCTTAGTTCTTCAGTCACAAGCTTAGAGTATGTTCTCATTCAGTATTATCTTTTCTTTGTTTTATGTATAAGTTCACCACATATAAGTGAGATCATCTGGAATTGTTCTTCTCCTTGGACTTTTTTTGCTCAAAAGCCCGTCAGGTCCTTTTTCCTGTCACAGTTGTAGCAAACCACAAGAATTCATTTTTTATTTTTACAGTAGCTGTACAGTATTCCATTGTGTGTATATATCACTTCTTTATTGGATACCACTAATAAATTTTTTAAAATTAAGAAATTGTGTGGACTCTGATACATCAATATTGACTTTTAAAATTATTTGCTCATTTTTCTTGTTGAAGTGAAGGGAATAGAAGTGAGAATATTCTGCATCTTATTTTATTGACATTTTAGTACCTGGAAGATACCTCCTTATATAAACAAACCACAGGCCAAAAGATATAAGCTATTTCTGTGATAATTTTCTTTCTTTTGCTTTTTTTTTTTTTGGCTTTTTGGGTCACATCTGGCAATGCCCAGGGGTTACTTCTGGCTCTGCACTCAGGAATCACCCCTGGCAGGGCTCAAGGGACCACATGGGGTACTGGGAATCAAACTCGGGTCGGCCGCGTGCAAGGCAAACGCCCTACCCGCTGTGCTATTGCTCCAGCCCCGATAATTTTCTATAGAAAATCAGGGTGAAGTATTTTACAAATCTCTAGAATAAGTGAAATTTAACAGATAAATTGACTCAGGAAAAACCTAGGTCTGCCTCTGATGGTAGCAAGAATAGCATGTTTTGTTGCTTTGACAATCTGTTCTCTTTTATTCACTAAATTTGAAGATTCACTATTTCCCCTAAACCTCTGGATATTAAATCAGTAAATAGCAAAAGAGAAAATGAACAAGTTTAGTGAATATATTTGATACAAGAATTTCTTATTGTAATCTTCTGTGGAAAATAGCATGATGGTTTCTCAGAAGAGAAAAATAGAATTCTCTTATGACCCAGCAATTCTACTTCTTGGCATTTGCCCCTCAAACCACAAAAACATCAATCCAAAAAGATAAATGAATACTCATGTTCATTGCAGCACTTCATACAGTAGCTATTATGTGGAAACAACCCAGATATCCAGTGACAGATGAATGAATGAAGAAATTGTGGTATATATACACAATGGAATACTATTGCTGGTGTAAAAAATAGATGAAATCATGCTGTTTGCTTCATTATGGATGTAACCATAGGGTGTTATGTTAAGCAAAGTTAAGTGAGAGGCAAGAGGTCAAATACCAGATGATCTCACTCATTTGTGGGGTAGATAAGAAAATAGACAGTACTGAATAATGATAAGCTGTTGGCTTTGGAATACAAAACCGGTTACTAAGCAGTGATGAGAAATGGGGGCAGATGGTAGATTAGACTTAGAGGCACTTTGGTGGTAGTTGGAATGCAGTAATTTTTTACTTAGATGTCACAAATTTTAAAACTGTTGTGAATCACCTAAACTGTAATAAATGTTTCTTAAAATTTCTCTTTGCAGAGAAGTAACAGGAGGATAGGAATTCTTTGAAAATTATTTAACTGTTTGCTGTTCTTTAGGAAGACTGCTTCTCTTTGGGATGTGGGTCTTAACTTCTAGTTTAAAAAAAATAACTACTAAATATATAAATTAGATTTTATGGTATATTTATTAAATTTTAATTAAAAATCTCTAGTGTTTCTAAGTAGTTCCTTTTTTTTGTCTTTTTGGATTAGGGATGGATTGATAACTTTAATGGACCAAGTGGTCTTTTTATTGCGGTAAGTAAACTTTTAGCTTTATTTTAATATTCTGATTTTATTGTTTTCTATATATCCTTGTATATGTTAAATATGCAAAGGATATACATTAAGCTATTGTTTTTAATTTCAACACAGGCAGGGAAAGGAATTCTTCGAACAATGCGTGCCTCCAACAATGCCCTTGCAGACCTCGTTCCTGTGGATGTAGTTGTCAACACAAGTCTTGCAGCAGCCTGGTATTCCGGAATTAATAGGTATATGAGACATAATGTCTCATTAAATCTGTAGTAACTTGGAAGGAGCCAGGGAGATAGCTCAAAGGATTGTAGTACTTAGTATTCTGGAGCCCCAGGTTTTATCCTTGTCACTACATGATCCCCCGAGCATCACTAGAATAAAGCACTAAGGTGAGAGTAGCCCTACAATGCTAGAACCAGTGCTATGTATTAACATAAATTAATTTTCTCAGACATACTATTTCTTAGCATTCATTATCACTTCCTGTTGCAAAAATGGTTTATCACAGTTCACAGTTATCCCAAGTAATTAACTTGTATATATCAGATATGACACAATAGAGTACCTTTAGTCTAATACTCTTCCAACTGAACTACTTCCTTTGCCAAAGTACTAGTAGCATCATAGGTGACAACTTAGCTTTAAACTTTTCAGAGACCTTTTTTCCCCCAATTTGCCCTACTTTTGATGGAAATATATATGATTATATGAATATATAGCTTCTGGTGAAAACAAATATTCACTGTCACTCATTTTTTAAATTAAATCCTCTGAGAAAAGGAAAATATAGGGGAGAGCTTAGATTTTTTCGTTATTTTTCCTACATTTGAAAATAGACACTCCTACTTACATCACTTAATCACTTAATCCCCGTTATTCATCGATTTATTCGAGCGGGTACCAGTAACGTCTCCATTCATCCCGGTTGCGTGCTAGCGTAGCCCAATGGTATCTGTTCGTTTTAGGAACATGTAGAGCCTCAAACCGATCATTTAGGGTCTTGACGAAGAAGTCTGACCATCTTATAGGTGGGCGTCCACGTGATCTTTTGATGTCTCGTGGAATCCAATCAGTAATGGCTCTAGTCCAGCGGTTGTCTGTAAACCTCATTACATGTCCAGCCCATCTGATTTTTGAGGACCTGTTCTACAACATATCCACGAGAAGAAAAGCTTTAAAAAACCCAAGTGAAGAGTATGGGAAAATTTTGGAAGTTGTTGGCAGGTATGCAATACACAATTCAGGCATTAGTTTCTCGGTTAAAAAACAGGGTGAAACGGTAGCTGATGTTCGAACACTGCCCAGTGCTTCGACTGTTGACAATATTCGCTCCATCTTTGGAAATGCTGTTAGTCGCGAATTGATAGAAGTTGAATGTGAGGATAAAACCCTCGGCTTCAAAATGAAAGGCTACATTTCCAACGCCAACTACTCGGTGAAGAAGTGTATCTTCTTACTCTTCATCAATCATCGGCTGGTAGAGTCAACTTCCTTACGAAGAGCCATAGAAACAGTGTATGCTGCATACTTGCCCAAAAACACACACCCGTTCCTGTACCTCAGTTTAGAGATCAGCCCCCAGAATGTGGATGTCAACGTGCACCCCACCAAGCACGAGGTGCACTTCCTGCACGAGGACAGCATCCTGGAGCGGGTGCAGCAGCACATCGAGAGCCGCCTCCTGGGCTCCAACTCCTCCCGCATGTACTACACCCAGACTTTACTACCAGCCCTGGCCGGCCCTTCTGGGGAGGTGATCAAGTCTGCTGCGGGTGTGGCCCCCTCAGCTGCTTCTGGAAGTGGCGAAAAGGTCTATGCTCACCAGATGGTTCGCACAGACTCCCGGGAACAGAAGCTCGATGCTTTTCTGCAGCCCCTGAGCACGGCCCCATCTGCTCAGCCCCAGGCCTCGGGCCCAGAAGACCAACCAGATGCTCCCAGTGGCAGGGTCAGGCACCAAGACCAGGAAATGCTGGAACTCCCAGCCCCGGCTGAAGGGGCTGCCAAAGATCAGAGCTTACAGGGGGCTGCCGCAGAGAAGACCTCAGACAAATCAGAGAAGCGAAGCCCCCCTTCCAGTCCGGACAACCCCAGAAAGAGACACCGGGAAAACTCTGATGTGGAAATGGTGGAAGATGATTCCAGAAAGGAAATGACCGCAGCGTGTACCCCCCGGAGAAGGATCATTAACCTCACCAGTGTCCTGAGCCTCCAGGAAGAAATAAATCAGCGGGGACATGAGACACTCCGGGAGATGCTGAATAACCACTCATTTGTGGGTTGTGTGAATCCTCAGTGGGCCTTGGCACAGCATCAGACCAAGTTATATCTTCTCAATACCAGCAAACTGAGTGAAGAGCTGTTCTACCAGATACTCATTTATGATTTTGCCAATTTTGGGGTTCTACGGTTATCGGAGCCCGCGCCCCTCTTCGACCTTGCCATGCTCGCCTTAGACAGTCCCGAGAGTGGCTGGACGGAGGAAGATGGCCCCAAAGAAGGTCTTGCCGAGTACTCCTACTTACATAAGGAACAAAAATATTAAAAGAAAATGTACTTTGATAATTATTCGGTAGAGCAAAGGGGATGAAGGATATTAGTAAATAGTCATCAGATACAAAAATTAATCCTTTATGGATAATTTTTGATATAGTATGAAAAGGTATCCATCATCCTCATAAATGGTAGGATTTACATTGGATAAGTTTGGTATTTTTTTTGTGTTTTATTGTTTTAATCTTTGTCTTACAGACCAAGAAACATGATGGTGTATAATTGCACAACAGGCAGCACTAATCCTTTCCACTGGGGTGAAGTTGGTATGATTTTACTTGTGTTTGTGAATGTCAGAATAAATAAATATGAGAGAATTGAGAATGTTCACTGAATTTTTATGTTAGAATAATCCATGAGATATTCAGGCTACCAATTTATTCTTAATTACCATCTTACTATATCTACCAATGTTGCCTTTGTGTCACAAATTTTAAAATAGTCTTTTCCTTCTCACCTTTGCCCTGAACCTTACTGTTTTTCTGCTATCATCTACAGCAACCTTCATAGGTAGTTGTAGTGTGGAAGAAGTACCCTTTTTTCCCTCATGAACACACTCAACCCTTTTGCTGCTTGTAGGCAACATTCTTTTTTTTTTTATTATTAGTGAAACACCATGAGGTATAGTTGTAGATTTATAATATTTGTGCTTGGGTTTCGATTATACAATGATCAGATACCCATCCCTCCACCAGTGCCCATTTTCCACCACCATGGATAATATCCCCCCACCCCCACCCTCGCCTCTGTGGCAGGGCAATCCCCTGTGTTCTCTCTCTCCTTTTGGGTGTTGTGGTCTGCAAAAGAGGCATTGAGTGGCAAACATGTTCAGTCCATAGTCTACTTTTGACATGCATCTCTCCTCCTGGGAGGATCCTCCAAACACCCTTTATTTGGTGCTCCCTTCTCTATCTGAGCTGAGTAGGCAACATTCTTAATAGCTACAAGAGTTGGTATATCACAGGAGAATAGCTAGTGGTCCCAAGAGTAATAAATGGTATTAGCAAGTAAGATATTTTGCCAGAATATTTTGTTATATTTATTAATTTATATAAATTCACAGATTCATAGCAGGTAATCTGAATGCCATGTTATTTGTTTTAAAATAAAAATGGTCTAACTGAAGGTACTATTGTGCAATTATTTTTAATTTACTGGTTTATGCTTCAGATTTTAAGCAAAATACACACATGGCATTGATTTAATAAGAGGTCTTATTTTACCTCTAATTAAGCAATTTTTGTTACCCTTGTGACAGCTTTGAATTTTAATGTCATTTGTCCTTGGGACTTTTTGTGGCATTTTAAATTCAAATATGATGATTAACTATAAGAACATATCAGAGAAAATCCAGATGGTATTTTAATTTTATAATAATGATCTTGTTTTACGAATTTTAAAGCACTTAAATTAGCTTTTTTTGTAAATTTTTTATTGTTTCTAAGTTTAATAAAATTCAAATTGAGCATTAACTTTTAGTGAATTATCTCAATACACATTTCCATTAAAGTATTAACATAGATGATAATAGATTTGATTGTGTTGACATTGCATAACCTAAATTACAGCAGAAGTTAATTTTGGGTTGTTTTAAGCTTGTTGATGTGTGTTACTTTGATCAACTTAATTATTCATAAGCAAAGGATGATGATCTTCCTTTTCTTTTTTAAGTAAGTACAGTAATAGGAATCTGGAAAGAGGAACAGAAAGAAAGAAGCTATCATGAGAGGTGAAATAGAGAAAGTGACATTGTAAACTGACATAGGTAAAATATTAAAAGGATTTATAAGTGACTTTTAGCCAAAATTCATTCATCTAATTAAAATCCACAAATAGTGGCAGTTCTGAAACCACTTGAGTTCAGCAGTCTTAATGCCCACATTCTCTTAGCTACTTTAGAGAGTAGTTTTTCAAATAAGAGCACTCTGACATCTTTGGTAAATTATTTTGCTTTGTAAAAAACATGACTTTTTTTTCAAAACTTCATTACATGGTTATTATCAAAGCTGTTACACAACTTCTCTTCCTCAGAATATCATGTAATTTCCACTTTCAAGAGGAATCCTCTCGAACAGGCCTTCAGACGGCCCAATGTAAATCTAACCTCCAATCACCTTTTATATCATTACTGGATTGCTGTAAGCCATAAGGCCCCAGCACTCCTGTATGATACCTACCTCAGGATGACTGGAAGAAGCCCAAGGTAATGGTGACTAGCTCTGTCTTATCTGTTCCTCTGACTGTTAAACAACCCATGCTTACACTAAAATGCATATTAACTTTGTATTTGTTTTGCTTATGATAAGGCTTATGGCCTTTTGTGAATGGAAGACTTTATCAGAAAAGCAAAGGTAGTGTTGTAAGTTACTCTTGGATGATACCTTATTATCATGTACTGATTTCTAGGTTTAAGTTTAGGTATTTTTTCTGAATAACAAATAACATTCAAAATGCTTTGACACTTATTTTTCCTACAGGATATTATCTAATTCATTACTTCAAGATGAATCCTTTAAATCAAGTATTAAGGCGCCCCAATATTAAGCTCTGTACCAACAACTTATCGCTTCATTATTGGAAGGGTGTCAGACATACAGTACCTGCATTATTGCTCGATCTTGCACTAAGGTTGACAGGTCAGAAACCGTGGTAAGAAGAATAGCAGTGAATACACTCTGTATTGGTAAGGTGGTGGAAGCTTGCTGGAGAGACAAAAAGTCGCTAGCATGAGCTTTACCTTTAGAATTACTAACCTGATTAATCACAATCACAATCAGGACGTTGGGGCATTTCTTAGAAATTGGGAATATTTGGGGAGACTATGAATATCATTTTACTGGACCATTGATCCTCCAAAATCCCATGGTATAAGAAATGTCCAACGTCAAGTTTGTCATTGTTATTATAAGCTGAAATAGAGTCCTTCTGTCTCCCATAAAAACTTAGTTTTATAGGGGAAAAGGGTAAAATGTTTTCTTTGTGTGGATTGCGCAGTTTTATATACAAAAACATAGGATACGTTTAGAAAATTACTTGAAATGTCTCAGCTGCCCATTCAGCTTATAATATGATAATTTCAGTTTTTTGACTAATTTCCCAAGTTGAGAATGTCATAGTTTTTAAAACAAAGTTAATAAGAAATGAAATTTATATTTTTATAGTCTTTCTTTCTTCTTCCTTTTCTTTTTTTATTGAATTCCTACAAACTTGAAGTCCTTTTTCACCACATTTACAAGTAAACTAAAAATGTTACTATAACATATTTTAAAAATACATTGATATTCAATATAGAGCCTTTTGAGTGGAGAGTTTAGGATTTGAGTGTCAATGTAAAAAGAAGATACTGTAGAACTTCCATCAACTGCTCAAAAAAAATAAAAAAGTATTTTTCAGTTATAGTGTATCAGTGTCTGAGTTACATGTAGAGATTTTCTGTAAATTCATTTGATTATTTTTTTTCTGTTAGATATGGTAATATGTGAAAAGTGTTCAATTGAGCAACTTTAGGATAGGCAAAGAAATAATTGAATAAAAGATCCAAAATTTATATAAACTATTTTCAAGTTTTTCTAGAGTTATCTATAAAGCACAATACTTGTCATTGGCAGCATTCTTTTGTGACCAAAAGTAGGTGAATTTATAGGTTATGCCAGTCCTTACTTGATGTTAATAAAGATGTTGTAAAATAGGATACAGAAAAACTGTCCTGTCACTGTAGCACTGTCCTCCCTTTGTTCATCGATTTGCTTGAGTGGGTACCAGTAACATCTCCATTGTGAGACTTGTTACTGTTTTTGGCATATCGAATACGCCACGGGGTGCTTGCCGGACTCTCCAAGAGGGACAGAGGAATCAAACCCGTGTCAGCTGCATACAAGTCAAACGCCCTACCCATTGTGCTATCACTACAGCCCACAGCAAAACTAGGCTAAGAAAAAGGAGCAGATTAAATATATCAAAGTACCTTACAGTAAAGGAGCTTAGTAAAACTTTCAAAGTGTATGAATAACCAAAGTTTATAAAGGATGTTGCTCCATATGATCTGAAATTTAGTCACTTAAAATAGAAACATTTTTATTCCTTCTAATTTCTTTCTTAGCTCAGGACTAGGTATTTGAGGACAATTTTAGCTTGGAGATTTCCTGTGTGTATGTGGTCAGATGGAGCTGAAAGAGGGGCCTGTCGTGGAATAGCTAGTATCATTATCTTTCATATAGAGATCACAAAGGTATGAGTATGAGTTCTTATATGAAGGAGAACCAATGGTCTCTTCCAAAAAATAGTGATAGGTAACTGAACTATTTATAAGGTCAATGACCTACCTCTGGAAGTCATGCAGCCTACTACTACCTCATTCTTTCAGCCACATTGAGTCACAAGTCCTTTAAGATTCAAGGAAAGTAAATAGAATCAAAATAATGCTGTACGTGGGAAGAAAGATATTCTTGAGTCATTTTTAAAAATGCACACTATAGTCACATATTCTTTAACTTCTGGTCACAGCTATTTGTATTCCCCTTTCATGGAAAATAGACTCTTCCTTCATATCCCTCATCTCCCTAGATCTCTTGACTTCAGCTGAGTCCGGTATTTGATTAGCTAAATCCTATACAATTGTGGATGAGGCTTTTTAGAAATGATTGTCCAGGTGTGTAGTTCAAGTATTTATCTGAAAATTTGATAACTAAAGTATCAGTTTATCTGCTGGTCTCATAATCAGTATAAATGGCAGAGCAGCATAGGAAAAGAACTTTAAAATACTTTAGACTATCTTGGTAGGAGAGCTAGGGATGTATACAGGCAGGCGGGGCGATCATTCGTCCATAACAGTTGTGAATTAAAGTTGTTTACGTGTTGATGGTTTCTTAGAGCTTTTTTTGACTCTTCTCTGATACCCTTGACTTTGCTTTCCGAGCCATCCTATTTATAAAAAATAACCTGTGTTTGCAATTGAGTAGTCTGCTTACTCCAATTCCTGTCCATAAATTTGGG